TGTATACTAAATATTAGCTCCTCACTATTTAGTTTATAAACTAAATATTTAACTTGCAAGTTGAAGTTTGTAAACTAAATATTTAACTTGCTAACTAAATATTTAATTTGCAAGCTAAATATTTAGTTAGCAAATTAAATATTTATTTTGTAAATTAAATGCTTAGCTTGGAAAATAAATATGTAGGTCCACGCTAAATATTTAGTTAGCAAATTAAATATGTAGTTTAGAAATTCAATGTTTAGTGTTTACTTTCAAAGCTAAATATTTATTCTAAATATTTAATTTACTAACAGTTTGTAAATTAAACATTTAGCTTGGACATAAGCATTTAGTTTGTCAACTATATATTTAGCTTGTAAATTAAACATTTAGTTTGGAACTATGGTATTGGTATGGATAACATGGTGAAAATCTGTGAAATTAAAAAAAAAAATTCTTATGAAAGGCTAAATAAACCAAAATACTGTTGTTAATTTTTGATTGTGTAAGTTTGCAAAAAGCACCCCATAGCTTGCAGCATCTTACCCACAGCTGTCCCAGAATGGCATTTGTTAGAAATAAAAAGTACCCTGTTCAGATACAGTCAGTCTGTTTTATTATTTCCTGTGAATGAAGGCACTGAATGGTAACCTTTGACTTGGCCTTTAATGCAGACTGTACTTCTGTGTATTTGTCAGAATGAGACAGACTGATAGAGGAACCAGTCCTGCATCAGGTTCAAACTGATCAGACTGATGTTCGTCTTGTCAGATGATCCGTACGGTAGTTTCCATCAATCAGATTAAACACTGCAACCACAAAAAAAAAACAAAAAAACCAGATGCAGCCCATCTGCCTCGACTCCAGGCTTAGTTTTCTTCCCCATCCGTGTAATCTCTGAAGTGCATAATCCATCATATAAACACACGACAATTTGTCAGCTGCTCTCGAGGCTCTGCTGGGGATTCTCTGGGAGACTGAGGCTCAGTCAACAGGAAACCGGAAGCCACATCAGAGCGAGTCATAGTTCTGCTTCACAGGCCATGTGACGGCGCTGCACGTTGTTGGCGTAATGGAGAAATGGTTGTGAGGGTAGAAACTGCTGAAGGAAACGAGCAGAACCATGAGATAAATATAACTTCATTTTGAGATTTACAGTAAAGTCCAGAATCGGTTCCTTTTAGATCAATGTTCAGGCAGCCCCTTTCAGCCACAACATTATAACCATTGCCAGCCGAAGTATTTCTGATCATCCTGCTGCAAAGGATTTTACGAGAGCTACTCAGTTATAGCCGTTTGATATTAATGTCAGTTCAATTCAGGTTATTTACATAGCACCAAATCACAACAGTTATCGTCTCAGGGCACTGAACAAAAACGTTCATATACATGCACAAGCCAATTAGTAAAGTTCTGTATCTAAGGAAGCAGCAGACTCGATAAATCTTCACTTGGTCGCAGTCTCCCATTCTGAGCAAGCACAAAGGCAACAGTGGAAAAGAAAACCTCCTTTTTAACAGGAAGGAACCTCCAGCAGAGCCAGGCTCAGGACAACCAGCTGGGTTTGAGGGCAGGTCCAGGGGTAGGTGCAGGTGCACCCTCTTTTAGAAGAAACAAAAACACGTCAAGGATAGAAAAAAATTACAAAAACCAAACGGGTAGAGCAAGTAAAGACAGTAAAGTGAAGAAATGTGGTCAGTTTGTCCTCCAGCAGTATAGCAGCATAACTAAGGGACAGCTCAGGAAACCCAAGCCAACCCTAACTATTGGATGCACCAAAAAGGAAAGACTTAAGCCCAGTCTTTAAACTGGACAATGTGTCAGCCTCACGAACAGCAACTGGAAGTTGGTTCCACAAGAGAGGAGCCTGATAACTGGAAGATCTGCCTCCCATTCTGTGTTTTGGAAACTCTAGGAACCGTAAGTAAACCTGCAGTCTGAGAGTGAAGTGCTCTGTTTGAAAAATGCGGAACAATAAGATCTGTAATATAAGATGGAGCTAGGTTGTTGAGGGCTTTGTATGTTAGAAGTAAGATTTTGAATTCTATTCTTAATTTGATACTAATATTACAGATGAGGTGCACACAAAACTAAAAGCCAGAACATATTTGTTGCATTGCCATATTGGGTTTATAAACAATACAGGCGTTATCACCTTCTGGTATACACAAGTCTACTTTAGTTCCTTTTTGTATAAGAAAAGTAAAGCACTTTTCTTAACATGATGAAGCTCGTCCTCTCCTAAATTTATATTTATTAAAAAAAAAATTATACACACATAATCCTAACTCATCCTAATGTTGAGGACAATGACTTTCTGCACCTGAATATTTTATTCTGTTCAACTTAGATCGGTTGTCCTCATTCAGCGGGACTAGCTTTAATTTTATGTTTAAATAAAATATGTTTTAAACCCTTAAATGCTCCAAAGCAATTTAAGGTAGCAAAGTTCTATGAATCCTAAATAGACAAGAGAATTAAAAAAAGAAAAAGGCTCACCAAGCAAAAGCTTGAGACTTTGGAGAATAAAACTGCCAAGGGGAGGCCACTAATTAGGGGTGGCCATTGCCACCAATCATCCCCTGGTTCCCCTCTTTAGGGGTGCCCCTGCAGTTCTGGTAGGCTACGAGTTGACACAGTTCAGAGTTTTGCAGTCAGCTGATCAGATTATTGAGTTGTTTTAGAGGAGCTCTCCACAGATTCACGTTTGTTTGTGGCTGAACTGAAATAAAGTGAGCAGAAAAAAAATTACAATAAAAATGTCACTTCTTTGCAATGAATAAAAATGCATCTCTACACAAACATTTAAAACCAGTGTGAACTGTCACCACAAGCACAACAGACTCTTGACTCGTCAGATCTTATTTAGGTCATATTTAAAGTTGGTGCTCCATCAAATGTTGCGTTTTTTTTTTTTTTTGCAAGCTATAAAACGTGTTGGTCATTTAGGATCTGTAAATGATCTGGAGAATTTTCGGTTTAGGTAAAGAAGTGAGTTCACTCTCGATTTGCAGGCGTGTTTCATGTTAAGTGGCTGAGCCTCATCACATGTACGTTGGTACCAATCTGTGAGAGGACCAGAGGCCTGTCAAGAGTCGATGGCTGTGGACGTGTTTGACGCAGGCGTGTTGGTAATGCCAGCGTGTGGAGAGGACGTATTTGAAAGATGATCTGAAACCCACATTTCCTTCCTCGTTTGTCTTCCTCACTTCGAGGCTTTTCTTAGAACCGAGATGAAAACATTTTCTTAACGGAGTTCCTGAAAGAGGACAAAAAAACACGACGGATTACCAGCATCCTGGTGGAAACTTCTCTACATTTCCGTTGCTCCTCAGAGGCTAAAAAGTAAAATATTGCACACAAAGTCTAGACACACGCCTGAGGACGACTTGTACTCGTGTCCCTCCAGTGACAGCAGCTGCTCAGGCTGCAGCCAAACGACCTGTGAAACAAACATGGCAGCACAGGGCAGAATCTACTCGAGTTGACTGTTTGCAGGCCCCGTTTATACAAATAGTAGAAAAGTAATAATTTACACAGAAGTCTGGTTCCAAACGTTTGGGTAGGAACCCCCCGTGGGTCACAAAACAGGTTGAAACCAAAACCAAACATTCCTAACAACACAGTTTCCATATATTGTATATTGGGGGTCGAGGCAGGACAGTAAGTCCCAGGCTCGATCCCCGGTCACTGAACATCTCGCGGTGTCTCTGAACAGGACACCCTATCCCCAAAAATGCTCCCCGGGTGCTTTCAATAGCTGCCCTCTGCTCCACCTGGGGGTGGATGGGTTAAATGCAGAGATCCAATTTTGCCATATGGGAACATACAATGATGACATTACATTATATTCTGTCCACAAATCTTCAGTAATGTTTGTGCACCTCAACAAGAGCTTTAGGGTTCAGAAGCTGTGACTCAGGTTCTGCTCCACCCAGTGGAGCTACCATCTTTTAACACACTCCTCCCAACTTCAAAGCTCAGCTACCGGTCGTCGTAACGTTTAAGAAAACATTTACTGCAGTTTATTTTGCTGTTGGTTCATCCATCCAGCATTTTCCAGAGTTGGGTCTCGGGGGCAGCAGCAGGGAGGCCCATTTTTCCAGAGCCTCCTGAGGAACGCTCAGCTGAGACATGAGCTGCTTCCAGACTTTCACTCAGCATCGACCCATAATGTCTCCAGTTCTTGCTGGTTTGTGGACCCTCCTCAGCTGTGGTTCCTGCTCGGAGCAAACTATTTCAAAGATGACAGCTGCCCACGGCTAGTCTCCAGCATGTCCAGGTTCTCGTTCCAGGTTTACATGCCCAGAAAACCTCCCCACGAAGGTGAGGGTCCATCCTTACCAGATGCCTGAACCACCTCAACTGGCTCCTCTCGATGTGGAGGAGCAGCGATTCTACTCCGAGCCTCTCCTGGATATTCATTTTGACCACATCAATTAAATACTTTGCTGTACCGCTCCAGTGGCATGAAGACACCAACTGGACCATCATCTGCAAAAAGCAGAACCAGACTCCAGCCCCCCCACTGGCTGTACAGAGAAATTCTTATTCTAAAGTTATGAACTCCCAGCCTGAAGGGGTTCGACTTACTGCCGGCAGTGGCACTCGCACCACTCGTACAGGAGATGCATCAAATTTTTGTTCTGAACTTATCTGGTACACATCAATCAGTGTGAAGTTCTTGTCACGAGTTAGAAATGTTTGTTTCCTCCTCAGTGTTTCAGTTAAAAATCCTGTTCAGTGGAAGTTGAGCCTCAGGATGTTTGAGACGGCAGAACATTTCTTATTTATGACGATCTGTCTGCACATGGAAAGAGGCTGGACCGTTCATTATTCACACTTTCCTGGCTGCTGCTGATGTTCAGGGCAGAAACAAAAAGGTCAGGAGATAAGCAGCTGAAACTCACACAACCCAAAAGAATCAAACCATTATGCACTTTTTTTTTTATTATAAAACATTACAATAAATAAAAGAAAACGATGCAAAAATATAATTAGATTCTTTTTAAGGGGGTGGGGAGTACAATAGAAATGAGATTTTTAATGATCAGATTGGTCCCTGGTTTGGTGAATTGAAACATGTCATAGCACCTTTGTGTGGTCATCATCTCCACAGATCTGCTGACCTCAAAACTCTAACGTTTCACAAAAAAAAACAGGAGAAACTTGGAGCTCAGGCCAGGCCGCTGCTTTAGTTTTCATCAAATATAATATATTAATTTACACATTTTACATGAGAATGTACTTTATCAGTTACACGTGGAAAAAAAGGCAGCTGATGTTCAAATCTACACCTAGATCTGTCACAATGTTCAAATAAAGTGTTGTAGCTGCACAGCTGGAACAAAGGAGGAGAAATGAAAGAGCTTTGAGCTTCACTGATTAACCAAAGAAATGCAAACTCACGTCGTTCACAAATTTTCTCAAGGCAATAAAATCAATTGTACAATCTTTAGGACCACGCAGAGTGTCAGTATTTATGCTTGTAGAGAGTCTGAAAATGTGCACACGTTGGGATAACGTGAAATCAAAACCCAGAAAACAAAATTCTACAGAATTTGCAACTTTTGTTTTTGCAGCATAAACATAAAATTCAAGCTTTTACTTATTCTGCCTGGATGAGAACTTGACTGAGGACGTGTGGACTAGCGCACCAGGAGGAAGGTGAGTCCGGCGAGACCAACTCCAGCGACAGCAACCAGCGCAGTTTTCATGGACGAGTCCTGACTCACCTCACTGGCACTGCGGGAGTACTGACAGAATCCTTCCTGCAGGGGGAGACAAAGACAACATGAAACATCTCGTTACAGAAGAGACATAAAAAAAAAGGCATCCACTGGTTATATCAACACATTCTATATAAACGGCACATCCAGAGTCTAATCACTCAAACAACTGTGTGGTTTCACACTGAAGCCACACCTTTGTGCAGACGTGCACCTGCCCTCAGCTCCAGGTGTTCCCTCTGCTCTCCAGCTGCGTGTTTTTCTGGTCACACAACACTAAGCTTCAACACGGAGGACGCCAAACTCAACACAGCGTCGACTGTTGCTACAAAGTCCATCTGGCTGTGATGGTTTCATGTCTGTTGAAACCAGCTGCCAGCTACAGAAAGGAGGTGTGTGTGTGTGTGTGTTGGGCAAGCCCATTCACAAAAAGGAGACATTCAATCTTGTTGTATTCAGTTTGTTGACTTCAATAGAGGGATTTAAGACTGAATAATTGGACACTTTAGTTAAAAAGCAACAAAAAAATGTTTGTTTTTTTTAGACTCATTGAACTTGAATGTTTATGTTTGCAAATAAGATCAAAATGATGATAAAAGAACAGCCGTTTTTAAAAACAGGTCCTTAAGATCAACCCAAGCGGATAATAAAACATCAGTTTCCAACAGCAGCAAGTTGATTATTGTCTATAAAGCTCTTATCTACAGCTTGTTTTAGACTCACATCAGCTAGTAGATTAACAACATACCCATCCATTATTCTCCAGCAACCAGTCCTTGTGCTCTTCCAGGTAATCAGCTATGGTTTCAGCCAGCGTCCGACAAATTACTGGTTCTAGTTCCTGCTGCTGACCAGGGTCCAGCCCTGGCTTTGAGCTCCGCTGCTCCTGCAGCAGTCTGACCAGCACCCCTGTGAAGGTGAAGAGGGAAACCACCCTCCCCCAGTTAAAGTGTCCATCTCCTGCCATCTCGTCCATCACCTTCCTGAGGCTGGAGGACAGGTCCGGCCCGCAATGCCTCAGGAAGTTCTGGGCCAAGGAGTGGAAGCGGGCCTTGTGCTGGGTTTCCATGGCCTGGCCCAGGTGCCTCATGGCGGCGGCAGCGGACCCGCTGGGAGGTGGAGGAGCTGGGCATGGGCAGCGTAGAGACAGGTAGTCCTCCGCTACAGTCAGGGTCTCTTTCCACAGCCCACAGGACATTTTCTGAAGAAAGAAAATTCGTCATGATGCAGACATTGTACTGTTACTAAAAACTAACAACAGGTTGTTGGGATGACAATAAATACCATTAATCCGTTTAAACCCTTAAAGTTAGTCACAGTCTGCAATGTGTCAAAAACGAAACTGGAAACTTGATTCATCCTGAGATCAGTTTTTATTGTTAAAATAAACAACAAAAACATGATTAAGAGGGAAGAATGTTTTTTCAGTCTGTAAGAGGATTACTAGAAGTCATCTAGATATTAACATCTGGTAAAGTGGCCTTTGTTTCATCCACCACTTGGCTTTTGTTGTGCTATCACAACGTGAACCTTCCTTCATTTTTTATTTCTTTGTCATCTTAAAAAAAAAAAAAAGGCAACGGAAAAATCCGTGCGTCACTTCGCGACGTGTCAGTCACTCGAAAGCGACGACGCCGAACAGCGACACAAGAAAAAGCTCGAGTATAGCTCGACTCGCTTTATTGTATCAATTTTAACTGAAATGTGACATTAATTAAAAACACAATAAAGACAGCGGCGGAGTTCAGGAGAGCAGCGCAACGTTAATTGTCCGATTTTTTTCGGCGTTAAAACCGGTGAAATTGAACGTCGCACCGCTGCCGTCTTCCTCCGCCGACTGTCAGGAGAGCAATGGAGGACACAAAGGACCGTTTACTCTTTACGAGGAACTAACTGAAAGCGCTGGGGCCGGCCGGGTCTACGCGGGTTATCACACAACCACCTCCGTTCGAATATGGCTCTTATACCCAATAACTCACAAATATGTGTTAGTAAAATAATTTATCTCGACAAAAAGCTTACCCTCCCAGCGATATGACAGGTCTCAGCGCACCCAGACGGCGGAAGGAGAACCTCGGTAACGTTAAGCGCGTCCACCCAGCGGCGCATTTATCTACTCCGCCCACAGTTTCTATATATGGGTGTTGCTTCCGGTTTCCAGAGCCCGTAGAGCCACAGAGGGAAAATACGCAGCTCTTCACAACACACAAAAAAATTCCCCTCCGCAGAGAATATAGGCAACTACACTAAGTTATTTGAGCATCTGTTAACACAACGAGCCACTTTTATTTGGATACATTTGCCAAATGCGTTGTTTTTAATTCCTAATTTCAATACCATAAAGTTTATTATTTTTAAAATTACTTTAATTCATTCAAAGCAATTCAGCTGAGACCTAATATATAAAATAAAACTTTTTTTTAAATAATTATTATTTGGCTATCATTATATTTTTACTGATCATACATTAGAAACTTACAGCCTTAGATACATTAAAAACTAAATTCAGACTAATTTCATTTGCCAACAAAACTGTAACCTGACATAACCTGGTTTTCCAGATCAGAAGCAGAAGAAACCAAAGAATGGCTGAGAGTGCAGTTCCGGACACATCATTTGGGTACTTTCACTACAATGTCATTTCCTGCTGTCATCTCATTCGTCATTTGTCTTTTCACATTTACCTTGGTGTTTTCCTCGGGTTGTTCCTTTCCCAATAGTTTTTGATTTGGACAATTGTTCAAATACAAAACAAGTACTGACAGCTGAACTGTGAACTGAATCGTCACAGGGTGCATAGTATTTTACATTAAATGACAAATACACCAATTCTTTGAGCGCATAATAATAATAACAACAGCGGAAACAAACTAGTCAAACAGATCTGTAAAAACAGAATATCCTCTTGGGAACAAAATATGTCGCCTCACCAGCTGGTGAAACTGAGGTCTCTGAGGTCATTTGTGTTTCTGTAACACCCACAGAGACACTGATGTTTCTGCAAAGTGCCTTTTATTCCAGTGGCTGCCTCAAATACAGTAAATGACGTTGGATTCTTTAGTATAGCTGGCATAACACAACAAGTTTGCACCTTACAGCGTAAAGAAGTGAAGAGTAATAAAATACTCTGTAATGTCACTGTAATACTATAAGATAACAACAGTTAAACATACAATGAAATAAATGGCTAAAGGTATGGGGTACCGTTTGTAAAGTTACACAGTCAAAAATTAACAGCAATATTTTGGTTTATTTAGCCTTTCATAAGAAAAAAATAGGGGTTATTTTTCAAAGCCATATTTTCACTATGTTTTTCATATGTTTATAAATGTCATAGTTCCAAACTAAATATTTAATTTACAAGCTAAATATTTAGTTTACAAACAATGTTTATGTTCAAACTAAATGTTTAATTTACAAACTCAATATTTAACTTACAAGTTAAATATTTAGTTAGGAAAGTAAATGTTTATTTTGGATATTAAATGTTTAGCTTGGAAAATAAATATTTAGGTCCAAGCTAAATATTTAGTTAGCAAATTAAATAGTTTAGGAATTAAATGTTTAGCTTAGAAATTAAATGTTTAGTTTTGAAAATACATATTTAGCTTGGAAATTAAATATTTAATTTGCACCTAAATATTTAGTTTGCTATCTAAATATTTAACTTACAAGTTAAATATTTAGTTTATAAATTAACCATTTAGCTTGGACATAAAAATTTAGTTTGTAAACTAAATATTTAGCATGGCACTAAATTTTTAGCTTGCTAACTAAATATTTAACTTGCAAGTTAGGATGTTTGTCAACTAAATATTTTGTTTGTAAATTAAATATTTAGTTTGGAACTATGACATTTATACATGTATGAATTACACTGTGCAAATATAACTGAAAAAAACCCTTTTTTTTTCTTATGAAATGTTCATTTTTGACTGTAACTTTACAAACAGCACCCCATATAAAAGTGCCAATTCATTTAGTTAAAGCTTGTGTTTTCTAAAAGAAAAACCAGCAGTGAGTTAAATGTGTCTTAATGGACGTCTGAGCCTCATTAAAGCTATAAGTGCGTGGGGAATAAAGTTTACAACAGGGTTTGTAAGCAAAAATACAGATTTTGTCTTGTAACGAGTATTTAATACTTACTATGTAAATAATGTCACTTACATGATTACAATAAATCAAGAAACTAACAATGATAAAATATAGAATCCAATTTTGTTCAGCTTTTTTGGTCAAAAGTTAACGAATGAGCCGAGTTGAGCTTCGGTGTCAGACTGAAGCAGGCTTGATCAGGCAGGGAGTAACGACATTTAGGCCCAAATCTGCAAAGAAAAACAACAGTTCAGTGTTAAAGCTTATAAAATATATATAATACTGTATATTCTCACAGGGCTGGTTTACATTTTTGTGTTTGCCTGCCATTTCCCAGAACAAAACACTTTGTTGGACAGTTGTACAGAACAAGTTCTACTTTTGACCGGGCTGTTCCTAATCATTCACAAGCTTTCCCCTTGAACTTCCTTGTTCTGTTGGGGGAAAGTCCTGCTCACCCGTAAAGTGTTGTCCCAGGAGGCCGAGCAGAACGCCGTGCCGTCAGGGGATACCCGGACTCTGCTGATGCGGTTCTCATGACCGAAGAGGACGGAAACCCGATTTCCCTTCAAAACGTCCCACACGTTGATAGTGTAGTCATTATAACCAGCAAACAGCAGGCGGCCTGGTTGTTGGGTTTAGGCATAAATGGAGGTAAAAATAAATAAATAAATGAAAAGGAAGTGAAATTTTAGCATAAGAGGAAACAGAGGCAGACAGATGAAACTGTAAAACAGTGCTTTAATGTTCCTGGAACATAAACATTAGTTTTATTCAAATTAAATATATTTAAAAAAGGCACAATCGTCATGTGTTGTGACCAGGATATCTTTTAGAGAGAGACTGACCTCAGATCCACAAATGTGTTTTATTTATTTATTTCTGAACGCAACTTGAAAATTAGATTAAAATCAGATTTTACCGCTTAGAGAGAAGTCCACACTGGAGGCCCCGAATATGACGCTGTCCTTCTGATAGACGGCCACTTCACGGTCGGCTCGCAGGTCGTAGAAACGGCACTGACAGACACACATTCATTACTGACAAGTCTACCGTACAAACAAACTACAGCTCATCATATCAACATATCGATATAGTAGGAGAGATCATATCGCTCCAGCTTTAGCTTCTCTCCATTGGCTCCCTGTCAAATTCAGGACAGAATTCAAAATTTTACTTCTAACATACAAAGTCCTCAACAACCTAGCTCCATCTTATATTACGGATCTTATTGTTCCATATTTTCCTAACAGAGCACTTCGGTCTCAGACTGCAGGCTTACATGTGGTTTCTAGAGTTTCCAAAAGCAGAATGGGAGGAAGATCTTTCTGTTATCAGGCTCCTCTCTTGTGGAACCAACTTCCAGTTTCTGTCCGTGAGGCTGACACATTGTCCAGTTTTAAGACTGGGATTAAGACTTTCCTTTTTGGTAAATCCTATAGTTAGGGTTGGCTTGTTATGCTGCTATTTAGACTACTGGAGGACAAATTGAACACATTTCCTTAAATGAATTATTAAAATTGAATAGTTTTCATTTGATACTATTTCTATCTTAACATGTGATTCTTGACCTGCCATTGTGTATCTGTTCCTCCTTCCTGTTCCTCTCAAACCCAGATGGCTGAAGCAGATGGCCGTTTGTTCTGAGCCTGGTTCTGCTAAAGGTTTCTTCCTCATGAGGGAGTTTTTCCTTTCCACTGTCGCCTTCATGCTTGCTCAAGCGATGAAGTTAAATTCAAAGCAGTCTGCTCCTCAGATGAATAATGTTAAATTATTGTTTTTATATATGAATGTTTCTGCTCAGTGCCCTGAGATGACATCTGTTGTGACTTGGCGCTATATACATAAACTGAATTGAATTGAATCAACAAGGCCTGAGTCCATTTTAGAAACATTTGTACTGTATGGATGTTTAATGCTGCAAAATTCAGACAAATGGATCAAACTACTGACTACAGCAGGAACGTGAGTTGAATCAATAAGACTTCAACAGCCGACTGTTCAGATATGAGCGGTATCGACAAAAACAAGAAGCAGAAAAGGTCAAACAGAACTTACCGTGGCGTCGTCTGACGCCGATGCAAATGCATCTCCACTGGGGTAATACCTGAACACAAATGGTCAAAGGTTCAACGAGTCACTGTTGTGCACTTAATTTACACACAAACTAAAATAATATGGAGTTATTTTAATTCTGCAGCTGCATCACAAAGCTAAGACTTAAATATATTAATATTACAAACCGGATTCCAAAAAAGTTGGGCCACTAAACAAATTGTGAATAAAAACTGAATGCAATGATGTGGAGGTGCCAACATCTAATATTTTATTCAGAATAGAACTCAAATCACAGATCAAAAGTTTAAACTGAGAGAATGTATCATTTTAAGGGAAAAATCTGTTGTTTCCAAATTTCATGGCGTCAACAAATCCCAAAAAAGTTGGGACAAGTCCATTTTTACCACTGTGTGGCATCCCCCTTCTTCTTACAACACTCAACAGACGTCTGGGGACAGAGGAGACCAGTTTCTCAAGTTTAGAAATAGGAATTCTCTCCCATTCATGTCTAATACAGGCCTCTAACTGTTCAATCGTCTTGGGCCTTCTTTGTTGCACCTTCCTCTTTATGATGCGTCAAATGTTCTCTATAGGTGAAAGATCTAGACTGCAGGCTGGCCATTTCAGTACCCGGATCCTTCTCCTACGTAGCCATGATGTTGTGATTGCTGCAGAATGTGGTCTGGCATTATCGTGTTGAAAAATGCAGGGTCTTCCCTGAAAGAGATGACGTCTAGATGGGAGCATATGTTGTTCTAGAACCTGAACATAGTTCTCTGCATTAATGGTGCCTTTCCAGACATGCAAGCTGCCCATGCCACAAGTGTTCATGCAACCCCATACCATCAGTGATGCAGGCTTCTGAACGGAGCGTTGATAACAACTTGGGCTATCCTTGTCCTCTCTGGTACGGATGACATGGCGTCCCAGTGTTCCATAAAGAACTTCAAATCGTGACTCATCTGACCACAGAACAGTCTTCCATTTTGCCACACTCCATTTTAAATGACCCCTGGCCCAGTGCAAACGTCTGAGCTTGTGGAGCTTGCTTAGAAATGGCTTCCTCTTTGCACTGTAGAGTTTCAGCTGGCAACGGCGGATGGCACAGTGGATTGTGTTCACTGACAATGCTTCCTGGAAGTATTCCTGAGCCCATTCTGTTATTTCCTTGACAGTGGCATTCCTGTTTGAGGTGCAGTGACGTTTAAGGGCCCGGAGATCACGAGCATCCAGTAGAGTTTTACGGCCTTGACCCTTACGCACAGCGATTGTTCCAGATTCTCTGACTCTTTTGATGATGTTATGCACTGTTGATGATGATAACTTAAAAGTCTTTGCTATTTTACGCTGGGTAACACCATTCTGGTATTGCTGCACTATCTTTCTGCGCAACAATGGTGGAATTGGTGATCCTCTTACCATCTTGGCTTCTGAGAGACACTGACGCTCTGAGAAGCTCTTTTTATACCCAATCATGTTGTCAATTGACCTAATTAGTGTTAATTGGTCTTCCAGCTGTTCGTTATATGCTCAATTTCCTTTTTCCAGCCACTTATTGCTCCTTGTCCCAACTTCTTTGGGATTTGTTGACATTGTGAAATTTTGAATCAACATATTTTTCCTTTAAAATGTTACATTTACGCTGATTAAACTTTTGATCTGTCATCTATATATTACGAACAAAATATTGACATTTGCCATCTCCACATCATTGCTTTCAGTTTTTATTCACAATTTGTTTAGTGTCCCAACTTTTTTGGAATCTGGTTTGTACAACAAAGCATGAAGCCACATCACGTGTAAAATTCAATGAGCTATTTGTTAATTTATATTTCTTTTTAGTTTTAGTTTAGTTGTGATCTTTTAAGGATCCCCATCAAATTTAACCGGACCTGTTCCAAGTCCAAACTATGAAAACAGGAGCTTTAAGAGATGTGATCTTCAAACTTTCATCTAAATTCATACTTAATTGCATCAATTGTTAGATTTTAGGGTCTCGCTTGAATAATCACATAAAACAAGCCGATGCAGTTTAACCTGCACTGGATGAGAACATTAATGTCTACTTCCTGCATATGAGCTGGAGCAACTTCTATACAAATGTAGATATTTTGCTAACAGACAGAGCTGGATCTCATAACTATTAGCACAATGTGCTCAGAATAAGTGTTGTGGATGATGCTCAGCTGCTAAAGCATCACAGTGTAGCTCAGTATTTGAAAAACTGAGTTGTGAGCATTTCCCGTGTTTGCCATGTTTCATTAGTTGTGGCAGCCAT